AACACCTGGCACCAATTCATGAAGTTTCTGTTTTTTCCCGGTTTACGCCACGTAGTGAGTTGTAAACTGTCCAACTAGGGTTCACAAGACACTAAAAACCGATGGCCGGAGACTCTTTGTGACATGGCTGAAAATCATTTTGAGTGGCGCGGATGCATTCACTCCTTTTCATCTCTCATATCCACCGAATCTTCACGTTTTTCCATGTTAATAGTATTCCTCCCATGCATTTCACCTTGTTAAAGTTCCAAATCATCTCCTTTTACTTTTTTGTCAATTTTTGAGTGCTACATGGATTGTGGCAATTTGAAGTGCTACAATATACTTGCTGCAAATTCTATGTTGAATTAATTTATTAATATATATATATATTAGTGTGAGCCAGCTTCGTTCAGCAGGGGGAAATTAGGTGCATAAAAAGCTCGATCCTGCCACGCTTGGTCGATACTGGACATCGCATCGACGTCACCACAGCTTTCGTTATCACGTACAGTTCGCTTACGACTCCTACACACAGCTGAAGTTGTTTCAATAAGATCAACTAGGCCGGAGCTGAGCGTCAGTGGAAAAGAGATAGAATGCTAGCCAACCACGCAGGTGGTTCGGAGTTCGATCCCCAGCCGACGCACTCCCAAACATCGCTTAACCATTGATAAGGCTAGTGAAGAGGGAAGGTTCGACATGAGGCTAGCGACCCCATCCCGTGTAAATTATTTTATCACTGCTACTGAAACTACACCCCTCTAGCTTGAAGCCCTGGGAACGTAAAGGAATAAAAAAGCCCGTAGCATTGTATCCCAAATTAACACGTCCAGACATTGTTCCTAAGTGACCAAACTTCAATTAATGGTTCTTCTCACCAAGAGTGCCTCTTCCTCTTAGCCCTCTTGGATTCTTTTGTTTGTTTTTCTTTGCTTATTATTACAATTATTATTATTCGTCATAATTTATACCCTTCATTCAAACATTCTCTCAATAGTATCGGATTTTCCATTTATACTATCCGAACTTATTATCAGTGACATTATCTCTTTTCTCAGTATATGCTTCTGCCTGTTTCACTTGACACTTTCGTTATTTCACGATGAACCTCTCACTCTCATTACAGTCTTAGTACCTCATCTTTAATACATAATACTTTGTACTAGCCACTCAGCTGACGACCTTTATAACCTTGAACTGACTTGTCAGTTTTCCCTACCCCAAACTGTATGAATCTGTAATGACTGGTCATCACGATTGTCTCCTAGTTTACAATATTTTGCGATTGATTTCAGCTTAGCACGTTTGACTCTCCATAACTAATCTGTTATCCTACATTGAAAAAATGTATCCTCCACACAACTGGACATCATCGTAATGATAACAAATGTTATAAGAAGTTAATTGGTGGATGGTGACTAGCAGTGGAATGAATCCAGGATGCGCATTTCGTCCTATTTGGGACTCATCGTCTGTATGTACCTGCATTACGTAGTCAGCCGAAACATCAACCTGAAACCAAGCACTTCAACGGGAAAATGTAAAACCAATATATATATATATATATATATATATATATATATATATATATATGTTGGTAATGAGACTTTAAACTAACTGTCCTATTCAGTTAATATGTAGCTTGATAATAAGACAACTGGTAGAAACCGTCTCTCCATAAACTGCTCAAAGTGAACCTATGGATCTCTTGACTTAACAGATCATTGAAACCAATACAGTTGATAGAGAGAAACAGTCACCGACTCAGTTCCAAATAAAACCTTATTCATGAACTTGGAATTCAAAGGTGATCAAGCTTCTGATAGGCTCAAAAATCGTCTCTCTAAATCAGTCAGTAAGACGTTCGCTGCAGCAAAATTACATATGATGTTCACGAGTCGCAAATTGTTCTCTACCTCTGTCAAAGATAAGCTCCCCAGTCTGGTCGCCACCATGTGCATCTATCAGTTCACCTTCTCTTATGGAGCAAAGCACATTGGCCGTAATCAGAGGACGCTTTCCACACGGATACGAGAACATATTCCAGCTGCACGGCTTTAAGAGGGAGAAAGGGAGTGTGTGCAAAGCTCTATTCTGGAACACCTGATCGACTTCTGTCACTCGGTCAACCCTGACCATGATTTCAAGATCATATGTAGAATCCATTCTAACTTCCCGCTTTACCTGTCAAATGTCAAAGTGACTGCTCTAAACTAAATGGCTTCTTATCAGAAATTAGCCAATGGTCCAAGGAAAACGGTCTAACCTTAAACCCCTCCAAATGCCAAACAGTTAATTTCACCTTAAGGCATAAATCTGACCTAAATAAACTGGTTAGCACTCACGAGGTGTGCAACATTGATGGCACTGAAATAGAGAACAAGTCGGAAATCAAATATTTTGGCGTCATTCTATCTGCTGATCTTTCCTGGTCGTCTCATATCGTGATGATTTCTAAGAAAATATTCTGTCTCACCTTCTACATTAAGAAGTTAAGACATTTTGGTATAACCCAACCCTTACTTTTACGATTCGTTAACTCTTGCATCCTGCCTATTATTCTCTGTTGTTCCCCCTTAGTTTTTCCAGGGCTATTGAAGAAGGACTTTATCTTATTACGTAGGGTGTTAAAGGTTGTCAGCAGAGTAAGCAGTTTGCCACTTAGCCAGCTTGTTAACATTCTGGTGGACAGGCACATGGACTCATGTGAAAAATGGGCGAAATCCATTTTATCTGACTCACAACACCCTCTACATTCACAACTCTCCCCATGTATCTCTTCAGGGAAAACAAGAAGCCTATATAGGAAACTATATGCCCGCACTAGTAAGTTCAAAAACTCATCCATACCCTACCTAGCCCGTGTTCTATGCGATAAAGAATGCATCAGGCATGAAACCTTCAACTTATTAAATAGTCAGTAGAACCAATGGATCTCGTCTTTCCAACTCACATCATTTAAAGGTACAACGTTTTCTCGCTCTTCATTCTGTATTTATTTTTGTTATGTGCTGTTTTGTTTCTCTCTTCCTTACAAACTCTACTTAAAACATTCTTGTTCGTTCTTTCACACTCTGTATATCTCGACCATTTTGCTATCGCTTACGCCAGTAAATATGCTAGTAGTATCTACTTTTCTAACACCTTCAAACACTTTAATTTTGGCTTTGCTACCGACATACTAATATGTTGTTGAGATAACTTTAATCTATGTAGAACTTTATTTATTGATAATGTAAAAACTGGATGCAATATTGTAGTAAAATGCTGAGAATTCCATTCTGTATCACAAGTACTGATTTGGAATAAAGCTTATGTTATGTTATGTTAAAGACAGCTAAGGCCTTGGCAATTCATGACTATAAGCCAGACCTTTATGTACAAAAGAAATATGTACAATCCCTACTTCTGCCTTGGCCGTAGAGGGAGAGATATTTAGGTGTTCGTTTGTAGGGATATGATTGGTTTCAGGATTTCATCATGAGCTGACATTAGTTGGAGAACCATTGGAAAAGCTGCCAAGGAGTACTGGACAGCTGTTTCATCCTAGTTTGGGACTCTTCATCAGTACGTACCCAACAGGGTTTGAACCCAGGACCTTCTGGTTACAAGGCGATCTCGTATACCATAAAGCCACCAAGACCTGATCATTGGCCCATGAATTCTAATTTCTGCCAATTCACGACATAGCGTGACCCCTAGCAAGTGTCTTCGGCGAGTATTTGTCCTCACACCCGACCGGCTGCACCCTAGATAGATATTTATTTATTTTGCTTATTTAGTTATTCTATGTACCTTTCCCTGAATACTAAGATTATTATTATTATTACTATTCTCACTCTGAATCTTTTCCATTTGACCCACTTGTCATTTTAAAGCCAAAATTATTAATTTTTATATTTTTGCAATATTGAATTCTACCTTATCAAATTACACACCATGTTATGTAACATTTTATATTCGTCAACTAATCTTATAATTATGTACACCTCTTTCCAAAATCTATACACCTTATGTATTATTCTATATATGACGTTAATTATTTTGCCACTTGACATTAAACTATGATCATAATCACAAATATTTTAATTGCATTTCATACTACTATTATTATTTCATGTATTCACACCTTTGACCTAATTCCCTCACTGGATATAATTTCTTTATATAACCATATATATACGATTGTACAGCTTGATAATAAATTCGTTGTTGAAAAGAGTCTCTTCTCTAAATACTGTGTTCTTAATGCTACAATGAGAATTATAAAATTATTGGTTACAGGATTTCACCATTAGCTGACATTGGTTAGAGAACCACTGGAAAAACTGCCAAGGAGTACTGGACAGCTCTTTCGTCCTAGTTTAGGACTCTTCATCAGTATGCACCCACCGGGGTTCGAACCCAGGACCTTCTGGTTACAAGGCGAGTTCATATACCATTAAGCCACTGGGACCCGATCCAGTGGCCCATGCGTACTGCTAGAGTCCCAAACTAGGACGAAACAGCTGTCCAGTACTCTCAGGTTTTCCAGTGGTTCTCTAACTGATGTCAGCTCATGATTAAATCCTCCATGCAATCAAACAAAATCCCTACAAAACCATTACTTGAAAATTAATCTGATGCACACTAGCAATTGGCCCAATTCAGGCAGTTAACCTGGGGTTCTAGTGGGAAGCCGCGACCAGTAGGGTACAGCAGGTTGAAGATGAGACAGTAACTCATCGAAGAAGACATTGCGAAGTAGTCGCGCTATGTCGTGAATTGGCAGAAGTTAGAATTCAAGGACCGTTGAATCGGGTCCCAGTTGCTCAATGGTCTACGAGCTCGCCTTGTAACCACAAGGTCCTGGGATTGAACCCCGGTGGGTGCGTACTGCAGGAAAAACCAGTAATCTCCTTTACTTTTTTTCTATTCTCTTCAACAAAGATGCAATGTGTCCCTCTCTTTCTCTGCACACACGCACACACGGTCTAGACATCTAGTCTTTTAATTATCACACCAAAACAAAAAAATATATAAATTTTGTTTTACTGGCGAGAATACATTTTAGACAGAGAGAGAAAAAAATCATTAAACATATTCAAAATGTCGTCATTATTAGAACAGAGAGAAAGAGGGAAAACCAAATGATTCAGTGTTACGTATTGTTAAAACTGAAAGGCGAGAAAGTGTGGGGCTTACTGAGTGAGTGAGTGAGTGAGTGAGTGAGTAAGTGTGAATTGCCAGTTAAAATTATTATTATTTGTCAACTTGAGCAAATTAATTAATATGTGTGTAGAAAAACAAAGTTATCTCTCTTTTTCTCTTTGGGATAGATATGTATGCAAAGTGAAAAATCAATTGTATGATATGAAAGAATGGTTACATAAAACATGACAATTAAGTAGATAATAAGGCTGGTTGAATAAGGCGGTTTCTTCAATCTGCATAGGGGCAAGCAAATAAGTGAGTTAGAAATGTATTCATCATCAAGCAGTGTGCACACAACGCGCACACACACACACACAGACATGTATCACAAAAAGTTCTTTCTGATCACAGTTTTTTAGAGGGAGAGAGAAAGAAGTCAAAGGGAGACGCATACACACAGTGACGGGGCGGGGGGAAGGAGAACAGTCAGAATAGTCTTTTTCTCTCTTAAACAGAAAGGCAAATCATAATCAATCAATCAATAAAAAAACATTAAAAAAGAATAAAAATTCTCTCATTATAACAAATAATAGAAGAAAAAAAGCAAGGGCGGGCTGGCGCAGAAGAGGGAGTAGTGAACAGAAAAGGATGATGGTGATGAATTCAGCACTGGGCATCAATCCATCCACCTATGTTGTGTTTCTAGACGCCACGCAACAATTACCAATTTTGTCGTGTATCTTCAAAGTACATAAAATCCTATATTTGTGGAGAAGAAGAAAGTGTTGGGTGATTATTTCTGTTATATTTAGGCATTAAAATACTGAAATCAATAGAACGTATCATCCAAGTATGACAAAAAAGGAGAGTGTTAATAAAATCGATCAAAAGTCAAGGGACTTCGTAACTGAAACGTCACCACTTACCATTCTAATTTGAAATTATAATAATGCATTTACGTAACGCAAAACAACACTATTATATTCCTTATTATTATTTATTTATTTTTAATATTATTTATTATTGTTCCTTTAGACAAGACGGAGGTTATGAAAATAACCAACCAACAACAACAACAGCAACAACATCCAGCGTCAATCACCACCGATGGTAGGGATTTGAAAGAGGTTACTTCATTCACTCACTTATCTAGGGAGCATTGTCTCAACTATAGGAGGAGGAACGGAAGAGGATGTCAAATCGAGCAAGAATCGGGAAGGCGAGAAACACATTCATCAACCTGAAACCAATCTGGAAATCTTCGTCACTCTGCATCAACAAAAAAATCCAGTCGGATTTTCAATACAAACAACGTCAAGTCAGTCAGTTTTTCTATACGGATCAGAAACTTGGCGGGCGGATCACAAAGAATATTTCCAACAGCCTGTTTCAGGCCTTTATCAACCAACAACTGTCTTCACTGGATCTATACTGAAGATCAGAAAGCCGGGTCGGAAAGAATCACCAACAAGAAACTATGGGAACAAACAAAACAAGAACCAGTCGCCCAACATAAATGCAGGAGAAGGTGGAGATGGATTGGACACTCGCTGAGGAGACCGCTGGGCGACATCGCGCGTCAGGCCATTCCTCGAGTGGAACCAGGCCGAAAGGGAAGCCGCGAGTGAGACGTCAGTGCAAGGGTGACATGGAGGAGATGGTGTGAAGAGGAGTTGAAACAGTATGGACTAACATGGATGCATGTGAAAAGTACAGCAGAAGACAGAAGCAAGTGGAGACGTACAGTTAAAGCCCTATGTTCCACTAGGAACCCAAGGGAACAATAATAATAATAATAATCTCCATTTCCATCGCCACATTTCTCGAACAGTAGTTGGTTTCTGTATTTTCTTGTTGCTAATTCTTTTTACCTGGCCATTTGATCTTCAGTATGGAGAGAGTGAAGGCAATTGCTGAATTAAGTCTGTAGTAGCCTGTTGGAAATACTTCCTACGACATGCACTGCAGGTTTATGACCGATATAGAAGAATTTGCTGACTTAAAATTGGTGTTGAAAACCACAATCTACTTCCTTGTGATAAGATCAGAGGATTTCCAAACCGATTTCAGAGCGACGAAAGCCTGCCTTATCTCTCTGATTCTGGTCTTGACATCCTCATCAGCGCCGTTGGCTGTGGTGGAAACGTTGCTTCCCAGAGAAATTTCTCCCGTTGATGGTGATTGTTGTCTCTTGTTGGTTGGTTATCTTTATCACCTCCGTTTTCCCTCTGTATTCACCTGAAGTCCTGTCTTCGATGCTTTTTAAGCCAGTTTGTTGATGTTCGCCTGTAAGTCTTCGAGTCTGTATAACATAAAGCAAAAGTCATCTGCAAAATCCAGATCTTCTAGAGTTTTCTTATCCAGCAATTCCCGACAAACTAATACGTGTAAATTAATCTGGTCCTCACTAGTCACTGACTGATGGGTGGAGTTGTGTGAATTTCTGGTGCGAATTCGTGACCAGTGGGACCCACCGAGCCGATGAAATTGGCTGACTGCCACACTACATAGCTCAAATCGGAAGAAGTTGGAATTTGTGGGCCATCGGATTCCATTCCAGTTGCTCAATGGTATACGAATTCACCTGATAACCTGAAAGACCTGGATTCGATTCCTGCTGTGTAGCATACTGACGAAGAGTCCCATACAGGGACGAAACCGCTGTTAAGTATACCCTGTTTTCCAACGGCTCTCTGTTGTAACTAGTATGACTGTGGTGAGAGCTGGCTGCTAGCCAAATTGGTAGACAGTAATTTACGTCAATGTTTACGTCCTCAATACTGGTCGTGAGAAAAATATGAACAAAAACTGATTCAACAACCAATCACAGCAGACTTTGCGTAGGCGGATACCATTTGCAGGTAGATAATCTGAACTGCAACAAACGGTCACAAAGAGATGAAAGATAAGATAAATGTTCAGCGAGAAATCACCAATCAGAAGACTGTGTTTGTTTGCTTACAATAATCTATAATAATGTACATGAAAATATATAAATATGTGTTGATTTCCTTAATAAACGATCTGTTGCCTGACCCTTGTCTTCTGTTGTTACATGATTAGCAGCAGCTTTATCTACACTGTACAATATTATTGACTGATGGAGAAGATTTGAAGATCAGGTAAATGATGACTTTAACACTGAATGAAAAAACTTCCACTGTCTTTCTGCAAAAAAAATATTTCAGCGCCAACTTTGAAATGTAACGCAACATCAGTAAAAAAAATAACTGTATTATTTGTGCAACTTATAATGCAAGATTAATGTGCAATTCTTATCAATGTAAATCATATTTTTAAGCATAAATTACACAATGGAAATAAAACTCGAGTACACACACACACACACATGAACACACGCACGCACGCAAGCAGATATTTCACATATAAATAACGGTTAGGCAGGTGTATCCATGATAAATGAGACCGTTTTTAGAAAAAAGCAGCAAACATTTTTATATTCGAAATCAAACTTATTTCTATAGGCGTAGTGTGATGATATAAATGACTCATTAGCATAGACGACTGTATGGTGAATAGTCACGTGTTCCATTGGCACTGCACGTAAAAAAAACAATATTTTGACAGTAACATAAGAATAATAAATATCATCACTAGGCTCAACTCCCCACCCACTCTACCAACGAATATAAATGATGCCATTTATTAAGGCAAGGACGCATATCATCTACACGATTTCATCTTGGTATAAAGCCATAAAGCAGTAGACTAAAGAGTAAATTTTTTTTGATAATATCATACAGAATTCACACTGTCACCTTTTATTTAAAACAAATTTGATAGACTGTTAAATTTAGAATTATCTCACAGGTGTGACGAATTAACATACGATTTGACAAGCTAGTTAATGAGAATGGCTTACAAATGAAAGTAGCATATAATAATAAGCATGACAAGATGTAATCCTATTAAAAAGCGATCATGGATCTCATGGATCAGAGTTTAGAGGGCTAAACTAGTGATCTTGAGTCTCTAAAAATCGTCCTGCTGTGACGTAGGACGTGTACTGATGGTTCAACGGTCGAATGCTTACTAACCACACACGGGATCCGGGTTTGATTCTCGAGGATAGCCAAACTTAAACATGGCATCATTCCGTGAAGTCTTTCACAGATGACTTAGGTTACATTAGGGAGGTATATATTGTCTGTGTGGTGTCTTTAGGATGCTAAGAGTCAGTGACTGGAGATTATTGGTGATATCGTGCTGACGAATTCACTCCTACTGTGTTGAAAAAATCGATCAGTCAGTTGGTCAATGGACGCATTCCTAAATGTCCCCTAGCCTCTAGTAGGCTAGGAGAAAAGTCAAAGGTGCGACGTGAGGCCAGCAACTTCACCTCATAAAAACAACAGAAGGGCTACTGGAACTTCAAAGCCTGAAGCCATATGTTTTACCAAGAACATGAGGAATGAAAACATATATACCAGCAAGATTTTTATTCAACGGTTAACAGACAGATTTTCAAAACAATCCTATCAACATTTGATCCAAAAGATAATTACTTCCACATAAGTACACTAACGAAAAATACATCGACGGGAAAATCAAAAATTCAATTAAATTAATATGACTCGTTGCACAAGAGGTGGCTCTCGTGGACCAAGTGGTCTAGTGGATAACGCTTTGGTGTTTGGAACTATGGGAACTGGGTTTGACCCTCAGTCGGGAACATCATCACTCACTGAGAAATGCAGGTACATCCAGATGACGAGTCCCAAATGGGTCGAAATGCGAATCCTAGATTCCCCTGCTAGTCACCATCTACCAATGAAAAATACATTGGCCATACTTTCGTGTTGTAAGAACTGACGGAGAATCATACTTTTATTCATGTCAAGTATAGTACATAGCGACGTTATCATGGAGAGAATGAAAGGCGCGCTAAATGCAGAAATCCGCCGGCCCGGAACAAGCTGGACTTAGGGAAGAAAATCATGTACTGATCAAATTACAGTCCTACACATCATCACCAAGAAAAGCATAGAATGACAGTCAAATCTCTCTCTTTCTCAATGTCAACTTCATCGACTTTGAAAAAGTCGTCAACAGCGTTGACCGCGAAACTACTTCAACACTATAGAGTGCAGTGCCTAAATCCGTATCAAACTCATTCAGCAGTTATATGTTACTTTTACATGTCGTTATCATCAACAGAAAAATCACACATGAAAATCCTAATTGTGATGGACTGGATTACATGGCAAACCGTGAGTGGTGATGGAGACGACAGGAATACGTTGGACTGATAAGAAGACTCTAGAGATCAGGACTTCGAGGGTGGGTGATTTATGTCTGATGTCACATACACTCTAAGAACTAAAAAACTGGCAGAGAAGACAGGAATTCAATTGGACATTGAGAAGACCGATGAAGATACCTGGAGACCAACAACAGAATAAACTTGAAAGAGGTCACTTCATTTACTTATATAGGAAGCGTCATTTCAACTACAGGCGACAGCGCGGATGGGGATTTCAAAACCAGAATCAGAATGACAAGGCGAACCCTCGTCACTCTGAAATCAGTTTGGAAATTCACTGTGCTCAGTATAACGCACAAGATTCGAAAACTCGAAACCAACGTCAAGTTACCCAATTCCCTTATGTGGATGAGAAACTTGCGGTGCGTGCCGTGAAAAACATTTCTAACAGGCTACTACAGAATTCTATCAACAGCTGCCTTGGTTAGCTCCCTAATGAAGATCAAGTGGCCGGAAGGAGTTAGTAACAAGAAAATCTGAGAACAGACCGACCCAGAACCTATTGCTCAGAATATATGCCGAGGGAATTAGAGACGGATAGAATACAAGTTAAGGAGATCGTATAGTGATGCCAATCTCCAGGCCGTCGCTCGAGTGCAGACCGAATGGGAAACGATGAATAGGTTGTTTGACGACGCCAACATGAAGGAGGTCGTATGACATGGAGGAGTTTAAGGAATATGGAAAATCACGTGGCTAAATAAACGGCTAATAAGAATAATACTTTCTTATGAATAATACTCAAAATAATAAATGACTGGACTGATTTTGAAAGCCCAGAAAACAAAATACCAGTATAAAACAATTAAGAAACGTCTCTGACGTAGACGTGATATCCGGCCGGCTATGTCCAAAGGACGGGTGTACTGTTCAGATGTCCGCTCCGTCCTCATTTATGGCTGTCAAACCTGGCCATTGACAGTGGAAGACATCGAAAGATTAGTTGTCTTTGATCATAGGTGCCTGTGATCTATCTCCCGTGTGAAGTGATTCAATAAGGTGAGCAATATTGAGGTTAGGCTTCGGTCGAGTGCTAGGTAAGTAGGGGAAATCAATCGACGAGGATGTGAAATTACATTGACTGAGATGGTTAGGACATGTGTTACGCATGCATGCCTAGCCATCGCCTTCCTCGACAACAGACAATGTTGGAAGGTGTAGACTTCCTGACTGGTTGGGGTCTTCGGGACGGTAAAGACGAATGGCTTGAAACAATTGGTGATATTGCTCAAAATCGTTCTCAATGGCTGGCGCAGATATATGCACTCCTTGTGACTTATGATTTCTAATGAAACTATATTTTTCTTCGTTATTACTACTCCTTTGTCTCATACCTCTGTTTACTGTCTCTTTTATGCTTTTCTTGTACTTCCTTCTGTTGCTTTGTGTGCTACAAGGAGTGGAGTGTGGCGACTTGAACTGCCGCACATCGATGCAAAGTTCTATGTCAAAAACAGACAGACAGATAGACAGAAGAAACCTTTAAAATTACTGGTGCATAAAAATAATTTTGTGATTATTATTTTTGTTTAAAACTGTGCACAATAAAAAGAAAAATACTTCACTCAGATTACAAAACCAAAAAGAATAGAGAAGGGGATTGTGCTTCAGTGAAGTGCACAGAAAATCGTACTTTTTTCATATAAGAACCCATCAAACTAAAGAACAACTAAGAATTATTTTTATCATTATTACTGGCAGTGAACAAAACGAAATCCATTAAATAACAAAATGTGGTGTTCACTCTAAACAGTGTAGGGTTCCTCACAACTCACAAACAGTGCACACACCCACCCCCATACACACACAGAACCTACGTTTCTAATTTATGTCATCTATTTGAGAAGTAGAAAAATAACAGAAAAGTTCAATGATCCCTTAACTGTCAATTACTTATTTCAGTGTACATGAGACTGTTGGTTATCCCAATACACGCAGGACACAACAATCTATCACACAACCTATCAATGGAACCGATCTGAAAAATAAGTCCAATGTGTGTTGTACAATACACACAGTATATCCAGCAATCACAAAAAGATCAAGAACAAGAGCAAGGATACTTACAATTAAGAAAACAGCAGCCAAAAGAACTGCTTTCATTCTCACTTCCAAATCCATAGGAAAACTAACACCGAAATTGTCTGCATCTGTGATCAATTCTTGGAAGAAATTCGTCCATTTCTTAGTGATTTTACCAATTTTCACAACACCATCAGCAGAAGTGATCTTGAACACACAGAATAGAAGGATTACAAGAGCAAGGAACAAGAAATACAGATAAGTGAGTAAAAAATAGCTGTACTGAAACGGGCCACAAACCAATTTCTAATAATAATAATAATTTGCTTTATTCCAAAACAGTACTTGTGATACAGAATGGAATTCTCAGCATTTCACTACAGTATTGCATCCAGTTTGTACATTAACAATAAATAAAATTCTATATAAAATATGGGTAGTCTCAGTTAATTTTGACAACAACATATTAGCATATCGGTAGCAAAGCCGAAATTGAACAGAGTGTTTCAAGGTGTTAGAAAAGTAGACACTAGCATATTTACTGGCGTAAGCGGTAAAAATAAGGTCGAGATATACAAAGTGTAAAAGAACGAAGCGGAATGTTTTAAGTAGAGTTTGTAAGGAGGAGAAAAACAAAACATCACATAACAAAAATAAATACAGAAAGAAAAAAAAAGGTAGAGAGAAAACGTTGTACCTGTAAGTGATGTGGGTTGGAAAGACGAGATCCATTTGTTCTACTGACTATTTAATAAGTTATAGGCATCACGCCTAATGCTTTCTTTATCGCACAGAACACGAGCCACATAGGGTATGGTTGAGTTTTTGTATTTGCTAGTGCGAGCATATAGTTTTCTATACAGGCTTCTGGTCCTGCTTGATGAGATACAACAAGGGGAGAGTTGTGAATAAAGAGAATGGTGTGAGTTAAATAGATAAAATGGATTTATCCCATTTCTTAAATGAGTCCAAGAGCCTGCCCACCAGAATATTAACTGTTCAGATCTCAAATACCTAGTCATCTTGATGCCATAAATGGTAATTTAGAAAGGAATTATAATTTCTTGTTGCCATCCATACACTACTGTTTTGGTTGAGATAAGTAGCTGCATGCCACTCATATCAGCTTGTGAGTATTACTTGCTAGCCAAACGGAAGGGTGATTTAAACACCTCATGACCGTTTCATTCATTTAACAGGTCGAACTCGCCAGTGGTGTCCACCGAAATCTATACGAGTATCCTACTGGTTCACAAGTCAAGAGTAAAGTATGACAGACGAGGAAACGAGGTGAAAGATAAAATGAACGATGAGAAGCACAACAGTCGGAGAAAAGTAAGACATTTAATCCCACAAATTTAGTTGTGTGGATTACTTTGAAAGTTCAACAGGGAATTGCACTAACACTTAATCTATTCACACTTCCATAGAGGATGAATCAAGATTATAAGAGTTTTAATTTTTTTTTTTAATAATTTGACAGCCTGTTTTTCGGCAAAAATACACACACTTTCTTGTCCAATATTTTAGTATTGGTTGAATATTTTAGTACATATTATGGTTGGTGATGACTATCATTGGGATCTAGCATGTATATTTCATCCTATTCGGGAATTATCTTCTGGATTTGCCTACATTCCTAATGAGTAATGGTTTTCTCACTGAACCCCTTACCTTACCATCATCGTTTTAAACGGCAAAGCATTATTCACTAGGCCATAAGCGCCACGCTTCATCACCGACCAATATCAGTTAGAGAAGCATTCAAAGCCAGAGAGTACTGAACAGCTGTTTCATCATAGTTTCGGACTCCTCATCAGTACGCAGCCATCGGGGTTTGAATCCAGGACCTCCTGGTTGCAAGGCAAGCATGCGAACCATTGGACCACCTGAACGGAATCCAGTGGTCCATGAATTCCAACTTCTACCAATTCGTGATTTTTAGGGCAACCAACAGTCAGTACCATCGACGAGCATTTATCTTCACTTCCCAGCTGGTGTACCTCACTGGTCACTAGTTCTCAATGGAACTCCAGAAATTCTCGGTTGCCATTGAAATATTGACCCTTATTACGGACGTTTCGACGTTGTATAACAATTAAAATGAAGATATTTTGGTTCGCCATACCCGTTTCAAAAGTGATGACTCTCGTGGACTAGAGAATAATGCTTTGGCGTTTGAAACTATGTATGCAGGCAAATCCAGATGACGGGTCTTGAATAGGGCGAAACACGCACCCTGGATTCCCTTGATAGTCACCACCAACTAAAATGACTTCACATCAACCCGGAAACATCGTGCTAAGAGCCGACATGTCAACGGAGACGAAGCATTGCGAATCAACATAACCAATCAGCGAGAAATGTGAAATTACCCTGAAAACAAAGCTTGGTAGTTTAGTTTAGTAATTTCTTAGGAATTATATAAAGCATCAAAAGAAACTTCTTCATCTGGCCGTCAAACAATACACGTAGGTTATATACATCATTGTAGCTAGTGATATGTATGGTAGGATGTATATATTTTTTAATGGAAGACAGTCTTGAAAGGTTGTTATGTCATCTTATGCAATTTGGAATCAAATATAATTTCTATGACTTCCTAATATAGAGAGTTACTAGATCAGTTAGCTGCCCATTCTCATTCTTACAAACAAACAAGCAGTACAAACGTGCAGCACGGATAAATATTGGCAACGGAGAGAAAAGAAATCCTTTAAAATTATCAGTAGACAAAACCGGGTTCAATCCTCCTCAAGTTCGCTGAAGCAGCACTGTCTATCAAATGCCTGAAACCAAATTTATGTGTTTAGAAAGAAGCAGTTATCAGCCCTTCCTTCCCCTGATAACTTAGTTGTCTGTATTTTCTCCTTCATTTTATTACGTAATTATTGGCTTTCATCTCTCTCCCATCTTAATATAGTATAACTTTATTATTACTTCCTTTAATTCCTAGAGAAACATAGGGTTTCAGCCGCGCGTCTCCATTGCGTTTGGTTCTCTGCTAGAGTTTTCACCTGACTCCAAGTCTGCCCACACGTTTTCATCTCCTCTTCACATGACTTCTTCCAAGTCACCCTTGCAATGACGACCAACTCGCTGCTTCCCTTTCGGGTTCCACTCGAGTAATAGCTTGTCCAGTGATGTCACTTGATGGTTTCCTCAGAGTAAGGCCAATCCATCTCCATTTCTGCCTGCCTATTTGTTGCACAATCGGTTCCTGCTGGGTTGGTTCGCTCATCGCCAGAGATCCCTGTTGATGATCTTTTCTGACCGGCCATCTGATCTTGAGTGGTAAGTGAAGACAGCTGTTAATGAAGGTCTGTATTTTTTTAAGGTTCCCTTCGTGACGCGGGGCCAAGTCTCTGATTCGTACAATAAGTAGCACTGACTTCACATTGGAGTTGAAAATTCGGATATTATTTTTGATGTTGAGTGCTGTTGACCTCCACACAGACTTGAGAGTAATGAAAGCTTGTCTTGCTTTTCCGATTCTGGCTTTGATATCCTCATCAGTTCCGCCTGTAGTTGAGACGATGCTTTCCAGGTAGGTGAAGGAGGTTGTTTCTTTCAGGTTCTTCCCATTTATGCTGGCTGATTGTTGTCTGTTGTTGTTGCTGTTGGTGTTGGCCAGGAATCTTCATCACCTCTGATTTATCTATGTTCACCTGAAGTCCTATCCTCTCTGGAGGCTTCTCCTGCCAGCTTGTTGCTTTTCACTTGCATATCTTCCAGTTTGTGGGAAATCAGACATATATCATCGGTGAAGTCCAGATCCTCCAAGTTTTTTGTGTGAGTCCATTTTATGCCTGATACCTCATTGCCCACTGACTGTCGCATTATCCAATCTACTGCAATTTGGGAAATCATTGGAGACAGTAGGCAGCCTTGTCTCACTCTCGTCCTCACTTCGAAGGATTCTGTAAGTTTCCCGTTGTGGATTACTTGACATGCAGCATTGTCGTATAACTGTTGGATGAGATGTATAATTGTCGGCGGGACCCCAGAGTAGTAGCGAAGTAGTTGCCAAATGACCTCTCGATCGACGCCGTCAAAGGCTTTTTGAAAGTCGATGAAGTTGAGATAGAGAGGTGACTGCCATTCCAAGCTTTGTTCAATGATGATCCGTAGAGTGGCGTTTTGATCGATACATGATTTGTTTCTCCTGAATCGGCCTGTTCCGGTGGAAGTTTTTCATCTAGGGCTTGTTTGATTCTCTCCATGATGATTTGGCTTAGTATTTTGCTGGGAATGGACAGGAGAATAATTCCGCCCCAGTTTTTGCATTGACTTAAGTCTCCTTTCTTTGGTAGTTTGAATAAGTATCTTTTCTTCCTATCCTCGGGTACTTTAACCTCCTTCCACACCTTCTCCAGTAATGGTGTCATCAAGTCCACTGTTGTCTCTCAATCCATTTTGAATGCTTTTGCTGCGATTCCATCTGATTCTCCTGCTTTTCCAACTTTACTTGTCTCATATTTCTAAGATTTGATTTGAACTCATCACATTGGTACTTAATTTATTGATTTACTCGTCATCTGATTCACCTCTTGTCTTTATTGTGTAACTCTTTTACCATTGTATCCAAGCTTTTATTTTACTTAAACTTGAACTTTCTGGATATCAGCTATATAAGTGTGATTTTCTGAGCACAGTTGACTCATTCTAGAGCCTACTGTCAACAGAGATGATGTAACACTTACAAGTATCTTGAAATATAATTCTGTACATTAAACTTAATAATTACTTCAGACAGCAAGCCGCTGTTGATGAGAAGCCGACAAAGCAGACAATGATGGTACTGTCTTATTCTTGCTTTGTTCAACTTCATAAAGGAAGATAAATGTGTGTGTGTATGTGTTTGGAAAAAAGAAAACATTAATTTCAGCGAAAGCTAAGAAACTAAAAAGCAAAGCTGTCAAAATTAGCTTCTCATGAGTTTTATTTTTCAGTAAATGTTAAAACAATTAAAAGATTGACGCATGTAAAGTTAAATAAGGCATCAATCATAGTGGTTGAGGAAAGCTGACAACTCACTCTGACAAACCTATGTTTTTCAACCAACACTTCTTCACTTGAGTATAAATATGAGTTGATATTTTCTTTTTGTTCTGTTTTAGAAATCATCTGTGCATTTTAGATTATAAGATCCTTGAGGGGAAGATCTGGATTATTTCAAATTCTCATTACACGTTCGATCACGAGTTGACATCAGTTAGAAAACCTCGATAGTCAACTTGTGATCAAGTCTGTAGCCGATCAAATCCCTGTAAACCAACATTTGGTAATTAATCCGATGCTCACGAGTGACTGTCTTCATAAACGATTCCTATTAAGAAGTCGTAACCAGTAGGATCCACCAGGTCTCGTAAGAGGACAGCTATTCCCCCCTCATGATATTGGACGGTAGTTGAGCTACATAGGCCATTGGATCGGGTCCCAGTGGATGAATGGTCTATGAGCTCGCATAGAACTATCCTGTTCCTCCCATGTTTTGGCGATTTCTATGAGAATATTTCGTCTGAATTTTTACACTGAAAAAGTTAAGTTACTCAGGCATAACTCAACCAACCCCTCGTCCTCTTACAGTTTGTCAACTGATGCATCTTACCTTTTGTTCTTTACTGTTCACCCTTACTTATTCCTTCCTGGATTGATTAAAAAAGACTATGTCATACTTCGTGGAACTTTGAAGACTGTCAGTCAGTAGAGCGAGTGGTATCCCATTGGACCACATCGTTGACATCGTCATTGATAGACACTTGATGTCATGCAACAAATTTACTAAAGGAATTTTGTCAGACTGTGAGCATCTGCTTTACCCCCAGCTCCAACCTTAGGTCTCTTCAGGTAAAACAAGAAGTCTTTTCAGAAGACTTTATTCACGTACGTCTAAGTATGCAAATTCCACGATACCATATTTGGCACGTACTTTACGTGATGAAAATAATGTCAGAGAGGAACTAACTACCATTCTGTGCACTAGTAAATGAACCATTTCCTCCACCCTTACAACATCAACCTTTATTGTTATTGTACTTCTTATATTTATAATCCTCTCAATTTTTTGTTTTTATTTGTTTATTTTTTCATAAGTGTAAACATCATTTAAGCTGTGTGAATAACTGTTAGTTTTGTCTTTCCCCTCATTATACTATATAAACAGAACATTAGATTCAATAATCTATAACATGCTAAAATTTCCAAACTGAATCGACAATAGTGTTTTAAACAAACCCACTGCTATTATTATTATCATATTTAATATTCTCAATTCGTACTTCGAATATTTTTGACATTATATCGTAAATGTGGACAAATTTCTCTGTTTAACCTTGTTTTAATTTTTAATTTTATTTATATCTTGAGTAAATCAGATGCAAGGTATTGTGAAAAATACTGATAATTCTATTCTGTATTATAAGTATTGTTTTTAGAATAAAGCAGATTATACTATATTTTATAATTGTAAGAACCTGAAGAGAAATTATTGAAAAGAATATTCTTCGTTCAGATTGACTTTTAAAGCAGATTATTATTACTATTATTGTAACCAGACGGTTTTGGGTTGGAACCCCAGCGGATGCATACTGATGAAAATTTCGGGACCAGGATGAAACAGCTATCCAGTACTCCAAGGTTCTCTAGCTGACGTTAACTCGTAATTAAACCTGTACCCAATCAAATCTCTACAAACCAACACTTGTTAATTCAAACTGTCTAATTTAGTTACCAGAGATCATTGTAAACCAAGAGGCACTGGAAAATTGTTTCGTCCTGTTTCGGGCCTCCTCACAGTGAGTACTCACACAACCTCACCATAGGTTCAAACCGGGACTTTCAGGTTAGGAGATCAGACTTGTTGACCATTCAGCTCCTAAGATATGAGTTGCAAAAGTTAGAATCCACTGGTCATTAGATTCCTGCTTAAGTAACTGAATTGGTCTCTTTGCCAGAAGGTCCCAGGTTTGACGAAAGGCTGAGTTTTGGTTGTGAACTGCTGAGGAGTTTCGAAACACGACAAAAATGCTATCCAGTGCTCCTGGTTGGTTTTTATTGATCTCTCAAACTGATGTTGGTTCATGACAAAATCTAACGCCTGGAATTAAAATTCATTTCAATCCCTTCAAACCCCCAAATAATCGAAATTGAAGACAACAAATTGAATATAAGGATACCCACTACAGATCTGAAAGAACTACTTTTGAGATGCACATTGAATATAGAGTTTGCTTTCAATGAAACAGTCTACAGACAGAAGGATGGTACTGCGATGGGTTCTCCCTTGGGTCCTCTCCTTGCAGATGTTTTTATGTCCAGTCTAGAAAATGGTTCCCTGAAGCCTATAATCCAAAGCTTTCAAATGTATAAAAGGTATGTAGATGGCGCCTTCATTTTTTTTAATAGTTATCGTAACTTGAATAATATATTAAATGTATTTATTGATTGCCATCCTGCGATAAAATCCACACTCGAAATGGAGAACGACTCTAGCATTCATTTCTTTGATTTGAACTTATCAAGGAGGACCGATGGAACTCTGAAGAGATCGATTTATCGTAAGCTGTCATGGAATGGTCAACTGACAAATTTCTACAGCTGGGTACTCATTGGTTGAAAACAAAACCTGGTCCGGTCACTTGCCACTCGTATTCGGCGCATATGTAGCCCTAATACTGTGGAAGATGAGTTATACATTTTGAGGAAAATCCTAATAGAAAATGGATTTCCACCACGTTTTATAGATAAGAATATACATTCAAATCCTAAAAAACGTGACTTATCATCCGTACCCAAGAAAATACTTTACATGAGCTTGGAATTCGAAGAGGACTTAGTTTCTGATATCATGAAACGGACGATATCACAGTCCCTGAAAAGAAAATTTCCTGCTGCATCTCTGAGAATAGCCTTTACTAGTCGACCATTACTGTTCAATAATCTGAAGGACAAGATCCCATGGTTGATTAACTCTGTGTGCGTTTATCAATTCACCTGCTCGTGTAGAGCTAGGCATATCGGTCGTTCGACTCGAGTTTTGCCCAAGAGGGTGCAAGAACACTATCCTGCATGGTTACGAAGAGGTGGGAGTGGAGCGATAAGAAGCACGATCATTGAAAGTCTGGTCGATAATAATCACCCTATCTCTATAGCCTCCGCCTTTAAAGTCATCTACAAGGCAAAAAGTAATTTACCTAAATCCCTACGTACCCGACTCATCTGTATTGCTGAAGCTTTGTCTATCGAAACAGAAAAGCCAGATCTGTGTGCACAGAAAAAGTTCGTTCAACCCCTCCAACTTTCATGGTCTTAATCCCTGCATGCTAAAATATGATAGTCCCTAATCATATTTTGGCTCTACCAATTTTTCATTTTTTTTATTATGTCTATCCACTTTGTATTCTCTTCTTTATTACGTCAATTGTTACTATTACTACTATCACTTTGAACTGTCCCTGGTATTATTTCACTTGTTCCACTTGTCATTCTAAATCAATTCTTTTTGTACAACGTTAAATTCTATGCTATGTAACGTAACGTTTTTATTTTATTCGATTGGTCTATTAATCCTATAACTGCACACCTTTTTTCAAGTTCGGTCTATCCTATGAACTATTCTATATATGACATTAATTTGCTTTGCCACTTGACATTTAACTATGATTATAATCACAAATATTTTAATTTTTTAATTGCATTTCATACTACTATTATTATTATTTTATGCATTCACACCTGTGATTCAATTCTCTCACTGGATATAACTTCTTAAAAACTACATATAAACAATTGTACAGCTTGATGACAAATTCGTTGTTGAAAAGAGTCTCTTCGCTGAATCACTTGTTTTGATTTTCTGCATGTTACAATCGGAATTTTCCATGAACAGCTAATATCTCCTACTATAATCACTGGTATGGCTAATTTTATTAAGCCATAAACTGATGCAAAAAAACTTACCTAACGCTACTTCAATAAATAAAACAAACACATTTTAGCAAGAACAAATGTCAATTATACGTGGAGCGCCTCCCCCCACCACCCTCCTTCCACCAAAAAAAGAAGATAACAATACCTTAAAATCAATGTCTTGTCCAATACATTCGCATAGACAATACGGTGGACCATGAATTTGAAGAACCGTATTCTGATTGTGGTCCAAAATGAAATAATTACGATAACAACCACTATACATTTGTTTCACATAGCCTATGACATTGCCAGAAGGACATTCCACTGCAACTTCGCTTAGACAACAATCACAGCAACTGTAACGATATAAAGAAAAACAATGAACAAGAGAGGCAAGAATAAATCTTCCAGTGAAGAAAGCCAACAACAGAAGGCATGGTTTACCTAGCTTAATTAAAACATTTCACATAATCGGCAAGATGTGAGTGCTAGAAATCCATTTCTATTAAATGGCGTTATTGGAAGCCCTTCTAAACATCATTTAAACAGGTACTAGACATAATAAGTGTAATAATAATGGTGCACGCCTATGATCACGCTGGAGATCAAACAAAGGTTAGGAGGTGAGCCAATGAGATATAATTTAAAACAAGCAATAAAGGTTAATAAAGCAGGATTTAATGGATTCATCAAATTTTGGTAGAACTCGTCAGCTGAATACTCTACATACACGGATATATATATATATACTTTGAAATTACATTGGGAGATATAAGACTGATAAGTAAACAAACTACATTGAATTAGTCATGCAGAAAGACACGTGTGAATAATTTCCAGGTCATGTTCAAATAGATAAGGGGAGAGAGAGTATGAGAGATCAAAATGAAGATAAATTGCATTACGCTTCAATTACATCACTTAGATAAGCAATCAGTCATTAGGGAATATAACGAGAATTGTAAACAGACTAATATCAATAGTTATAATAACAATAATAATAGTGTTGAAGTGAGTTAGGATAATCCTACTGATAAAACGTAGTTTTAAATGAATCAAGAATAATAATAACTACAATAATAATAATAATAAGAGGTAGAATAATAAGTAAAACATATTACCATGGTAGATTCAGAGTCACGACCATCTCCTTTTGTACACAGAGAGCTGGTTTATAGATTCGAATCGCACAAGCCTCTGCAATTGCAAGCATCTTCTTGTTTCTTTGTCTGCTGACAGTAGTGAATGACTTGACCGCGTTGATATCATGTCCGTAATCCACAAGATGTTTTCTTATTGAGGGTTTTGGCACTTTGCACTCAGCTGTTTTCAACCATTTTGGTAAATGTTCCATCATGCGAGTAGACAATCGGCTTTCCGTACGACCTATGTATTTACTTCCACAAACACACTCAAATTGATATACGCAGTTTGAAGTGTCCCTTCTACACGACTAATTCAATGTAGTTTGTTTACTTATCAGTCTTATATCTCCCAATGTAATTTCAAAAGTATATATATCCGTGTATGTAGAGTATTCAGCTGACGAGTTCTACCAAAATTTGATGAATCCATTAAATCCTGCTTTATTAACCTTTATTCCTTGTTTTAAATTCGTATCGGGAAATAAATGTTTTTAATTCTTAAAGAAGCGTCTCCTAGAGAGATATAATTTAATGGCCCGAGAATTTAAACTGAGATCAATCCATGATTGAACTTGAAACAAATCAAATCTCCACAAACTAAATCTTGAAAAATAATCTGATGCCGACTAGTGACTGACTGAAGGATGAAAGTGCCGGGAGTTCTCGTGGGCAGTCAGTGATCATTGGGGTTCAGCAGGTTGGATGTGACAACAAAAACTCAGGGATGACACTGACCGGCGGTCGTGCTCGAAATCGCGAGTCGATAGAAATTAGAATTCATGCTACGCGAGTTCTCCTCGTAACCTGAAGGTCCTGCGTTTGATCACCGGAAGGATCACAGGTGCGTTCTGCTGAAGAGTCTGAAACTAGGGCGAAATGGCTCTTAATATTTCTCTGACTGCTATCAATCTATGATCAAACGTGAAAGAAATTAAGTCCCTACAAACTCACTCTTGAGAATTATTTTTATTATTATACCGCGGAACGCTGACTGACTGAATGCTTCAGAAATCTGGGGAGGAGAAGAAGACGAGAAAGGTGACAAGAGACAAGGGTTGGTCAGACACAGAGATTACATGATCTTGTCTGCTAGGGTTAAAGAATATTGTAACAACTAGTAACCAACGCCATAGGGACTTGTGTATCCCAAAGTACTGTACCACACCATCTTTAATAACATTATTATTACTATTCACTTGGGTTTCGAGTGGAACATAGGGCTTCAACAGTCTCTACAGTCCTCTTCAGCTGCCTCCACGATTATTCACAAGCCTCCACCTCCTCCATACCACCTTTAAATGCCCAACTCACCGTTTCCCAATTCACTTTGCACTCGAGTGCCTAGATGATGTACAATTTCACCCAACAGCTCCATCAACGTATGTCCGATCCATTTCCGTTTCCTTCGGAAATATTTATTGACCAATAGGCTCGTGATTGTGACTTATCCGCTCGCTGTTGACAACTCAATCAGATGTCAACACTATAGTTTCTACACTTCCACAACTTACGTAATTTGAATGTTATTTTTTCCTATAAGTCTATAATTTAACTACATCTTACCTAAATGAACAGTGCTCATTTATAAATAATGAATGATATTGATCAAAATTACAAGATAAATAAAATTGAATAAGAAAAACAAATGCAACACGTACGCGAAACACGGGCAACAATCACAACGAAATGGTCGTCTTGCAACAATAACCTCTGTACTAGTACCATCGACAATATGCAGAGTAAAAGATCTCGACGATGTACAAAATGTGCGTTCACAACAGCCAGATTCTATAAGATGTTAACATGAGTTGTAAAAGGTAAAACTTGTTACAATAATAATAATAATAATACTGATAATCATAAAATGTCGATGAAGAAAGGAAGACGAAATTTGCAGTATAAAATGACATCATCATTCTATTTCACAGGTTCTCATCAGCTGCAGACTACCAAACTACCATTCAAACATTAAAGTATGCTACTATCATTTATATAACCATTTTAATTTCAGGTAGTGGTCTTCAGATGATGAGAACCTGTGAAATAGAATGATGATGTCATTTTATACTGCAAATTTCGTCTTCCTTTTTTTATCGAAATCATAAAATGACTGGACAGATTTTCACCACCTTATGAATCGGAATATTTTTTTAAAGCAGACATTAAATCAATCCGTCGTTATATCACCATCATCAGCCGGGAGCTTTAGTCAACCAGTCTAGTGAGAAGTCATCACCAATGAAGTCTACCACATCAAGTTGTAATAACAGAAGGCAAGGGCCAGGCAACAGATCCTTTATTAAAGAAATCAACACATATTTATAGATTTTATTAGATGAAAAACACAGTCTCCTGATTGGTTGTTTCTCACTGAAAGTTAATCTTTCCACTTTTTGTGTCTGTTTCCTGAATGTCAGATCATCTATATGCTAACTGTATCCGCCTACGCAAAGCTTTTGTTTTCATTTTTCTCACGACCAGTATTGGGGACACAAACATTGACGTAAATTACTGTCCACCATTTCTGACTAACAGCCAGTTCACACCACAAAGTGAGATGGCAGTTACTCTCCGATAGCATATACGGGTGTGGTGAGAGCTGGCTGCTAGCCAAATGTTTGTCCCCAATATTGGTAGTGAAAAAAATAAGAACAAAGACTGATTTAACAACCAACCACAACATACTTTGCGTAGGTTGATACAGTTAGCAAATAGATGATCTGACGTTCAAGAAACACCCACGAAGAGGTGAAAGATTAACTTTCTGTGAGAAACAACCAATCAGAAGACTGTATTTTTCTGCTAACAATAATCTATAGTAATGTACATGAAAATATATAAATACGTGTTGACTTCCTTAACAAACGATCTGTTGCCTGGCCCTTGTCTTATGTTATTACACTGTTAGTTGCGCTTTTTACGGTGATCTCTTCGAAGTTGCAGTCCATGGGCCAGTCGGATAGCGTCCTAGTGTCTGTGAGCTCGCCTTATAGCCGGAAGGTCCTCAATTTCCCTCCCAGTGGATACGTAATGTGAAGAGTCCCGGACAATGATGAAACAGATGTCCAGTACTCCTCAGTTTTCCAATGGTTCTTCACTTGATGTCAGCATACAGTATACCCTTTCGGTCTATTATTATTATGGCATTAAAACCAGATTGTATTTAAAATGACAGTACCTTATATCGCGTCTTTAAAGAAACTGAGTCTCACTTGTATATATACGTAAGTAGTCCGTTAGCAAAATACTTATTGAACCAGTAAAATCATGAGACTGAGTAGCATTCCGTGTAAAATAATAATCGTGTAAAGAATTATTACAAGAAAACACAGTTTATGTAAAACCTAATGGGAAACTGTACTACATTGTAATTTTCTTGATTGGATACCAGTTAGTAAGTAGTAGTGTAACGACAGAGGACAAGGTCCAGGAAATCAACAGATATTTGTAGATTTTCATGTACACTACTATAGTTTATTTAAACAAACAAACAAACACAGTCTCCTGATTGGTGGTTTCTCGCTGAACGTTAATCATTCATCTCTTTCTGGCCGTTTATTGAAGTTCAGATTATCTATCTGCAAATGGTATCCGCCTACGCAAAGTCTGCTGTGATTGGTTGTTGAGTCAGTCTTTGTTCTTATTTTTCTCACGACCAATATTGAGGACGCAAACGTTGACGTAAATTACTGTCTACCAATTTGGCTAGCAGTCAGCTCTCACCACAATAGGACGTGTCTAGTTCTCTATTTGATGCAAATTGAACTCCATTGGTCACGTTTGCAATGTGACCACCATTCTAGGTAATTGTAATTTTGTAGATTAACTCTTACAATGAATTTACCAAACTCATAACTCCAACAACTGTATGAAAACGTTGCTGCAACTGCAAACGAAGATACAGACAGATTTAAATTTAAATTTGAAGATCAATGTATCAGATCAAGCGGATAAAATTCGATACAGTATACAAAACAGAAGTTACTGTACACAGAACGATACCACTAAAGATAAATACGCATATTAGAAAACAGACATTAATTGTGTATATGTTAGTGAAAACACTCGGAAAGTTGAAGATGAGGAGAGAAAAAATTTCAGCCACTTTGAACTGAATCACACAAGACTACAGAAATATAACCGACTGACTGACTGGGTTTCCATATAGAATTTTTCATAGAAGCGCAACAGTTCAAGTTTTGACACTCCATACAGCACACAAAGGTAGACATAGAAAGGAGAAAAATAACTTGATAGAACTGTAATAAACAGAAATGTGAGTGATAAAAAGTTGTAACGTGGAAAAAACACATGAGGTTTCAGTGAATTCGGGAGATTACAAAGCGTAAATGCATCTTAATAACTAACGATTATTTTGAGCCGTATCTCCAATAATCGCCAGCTATTGGCTCTTAGAATGAAGAAGAATCCCAGCCAGCCAGGCAACCTACACCTCTCCTTCTGACTTAAATCAACGGTCGAAATCTCAATGGACGGATGACAGGTTTTGATTTGCCCACCCGCAACTCTTTTCCAACCTAACTCAATGTTGGCTAACACTGCTTGTTGAAAAAGGCGACATCTCAACAGAAACGCAAATGTACATGCTTCAAGAAGCTGTACACAGTTTCCAAATATAGCAAAGCGATTGGCAGACTGATTCTTATCAGTACAAGACTCTAAAGCATAATTTGACATACACTTGGAGTTCCAGAGTTTTGTGAAAGAGGCGAAAAGAATTCTAGTAACGAAAGAAAAATATTTTCCTAGGAAAATACTGTACTTCTTACACATCAATTAGCAATGAACTGATTTTCGTAGCCCATAACGACAAATTAGACCATTTAAAGGCACTTTTAGATATTTTTTTAGTGGTTTCTTGTGACTGATACTTGAAAACATACAAAACTAAAGGTGAATATTGAAATCTTCCACACACTTTAAAAAAAAGGAAAAGCATTTTCAATCACCTACCTTCATAACATCTATAAACAGACTGTCCCAAAACATTGTAACAAGTATACCGATTTTGCGTTTCAAAACCGAATATTGCTGAGTGCAGAATAACAAAATATTTAAAACAGTTAGTCCCTTTGATAAATTTGAATAAGGCATTAAGAAGACAAATTTCGCGAGATGATATCGTCATTTCGTAGTTTCTTTACAACCGCTTTACACCTAACATGGTTAACAATGATAAAATAAAGTTCATGAAAATTACTCAGTTAAATCAAAACAAAAGTACATACTAATGACCTATCTTAATATGATTGGTCATTAGTATGTACTTTTGTTTTGATTTAACTGAGTAATTTTCATGAACTTTATTTTATCATTGTTAACCATGTTAGGTGTAAAGCGGTTGTAAAGAAACTACGAAATGACGATATCATCTCGCGAAATTTGTCTTCTTAATGCCTTGTTCAAACAAAATATTTGCAAATGTTTAAAATGTTTAATTAGTTAAAGTTATTCAAACAGTGGAACAAGTACCTAAAACTGAGATACTCTTGCATGAAGATAAAAACTAAGTGAATCCGAGAAGGTACAACTCGTAATCTAAGGAGTTTGATTCGATCCTCACTGAGATCGCATGTGTTCACTAATGGAGAGTTGCAAAACTACGGCAAAACAGATGTCGGATACTCTGTGTTTCGAAATGCTTCTGCAGCTGATGTTGGTTGGTAACGAAGACAGTTATATCCTCACAAAACAACACTAGTAAGTGACCCTTACACATGGGACTAATATCGATATAAGGTAATGTTATATAGGGATATGTTTCTAACCATTTATAACATTCATTACATTGTATTGCTGTAGAACCTAAAAGCATATTTCAATACACTACTAGACTGTTTTGAATAGTACTTATTTTAGAGTTGTAGTGAATGTGCTGTAAAACTGTCGTACAAAATCCACAACACACGACAAGATCTACATTTGTACATACGATAATTAATTTACTCAGTAGTTTTCCCTTCAGATAAAACTTCTTCCAATAAATTCGTAGAAAATTACGTCCTAAGAAATTGAAAGCTTATGACTAGTTGGATGTAATGAGAATATTTCATGAAATTGTTTCTACAGTGAAAATAAGTTATTAAACATGATTGGTTCTCTTTCGAATTTTCTGATTTCACTTCAGCTTTTTAAATTAATACTTTAGATAAAACAACGATCCACTCATCTGTTCAAGTCAAAGACATTTTATGCGCATTTTTTGTTTATTTTATAAACAAAATACCAATTAGGTACCTAACTTTGAAGTTTTCCATGTAACAGTGGTGGAAATGAAACCCTTCTCGACTCATAACACTATAATTTGTTGAATAGTGCACCATTTAACCTAAACGTGATGAAAACGTTATTCTACTCAGCTCATTTATAGCAGCTTACAAGGTTGTACTGATAGAGGAAAGATATTTCAAGTACAAGTATACTAACATAACTTATCTGATGCACTCCATCAGTGTTTGCAACATGTCACATCAAAATTAAAATATTTGGTAAACCTGAGAGTAAATAAATTCTCTTTCAGCTTTAACCTTATGGCTGTAGCGGTAAATAATTCCCCAACATGATTGACCACAGCAAACATCACTGAACATTGGATGCTGACCCTTAATGTTTAAGTCGACTTGTTTAGCTGAAGGCTTCTGATCAAGCATCCTCGCCATTTGGTACCCCGTAGTGGCACGTTCGTGCACGATCATTAGCCAGCTAAGCGTTCGTCTAACAACCCGTTTTGGTCCCGAAATATATCTCGTAATTTGGATAACCGATCCCGTTGTTTTGCTTTACCTTTGGTCCACGGGAAACGAATACTATAGAATTTGTTGGTATAAGATCTTGCGTTAGTATACTCCGTACAATTCGCGAACGTCAATACCGTCAGCCTCTAAATGGCAATCCACTATTAAATTTTGTTCTAAATTAATACAACCATAATGAATACAATGACGCTTCAGCTAAATAAATTAGATTGGTCAGTCAGTAAGAAAGCTAAATGGAAAATTGAGGATGCTGCAATTTACTTCTGGTGTTGAAGAAACCAATTCTCTCCAATATAACCCTTAATCTAAGTGAAAAGCTATCTTATGGCATGAATTGATTCTTCACATCTGGCATTTTTAGCTATGCAGATTCACAATATCCTACTTAGCTAACAGAGGTGGAATTATCGAAGTCCAGGGACCATGTTTCATTCAACTAACTGCATATACGTCAGTCTCAGTTTACATAAACAACTTCATTGAACCTCTTTTCTCTGCATACGCCTGAGTACATATACCCTTTCAGTTTTGAAGGAAAGCTGTTTTTGTTATTCACTACAAGGAATTGATAAATCCGGCGCAAAACGCTATAGGGAGAGTATGATTTATGAAAAAGAAGTTAGGACTCACCCTCACAAATTTCTTTCGATTGTTTAACTAACAACTGATCCACTTGAGTCAAGTACTCAAGACCCGGAGGACACTGAGTTGCAGCCGGTTTCTCCATCCACATAGCTGAAGCTAAAAGAAAAAAGTATCAAAACATGATTATCATTATTGTGATTTTTTGCTTAAATAAATACTATTTTAACTTTCCTAGTCTTATAAAAGCTTTAATAAGTTTAAAAATCAGTTATAATGATTGATCATAGTAGGAAAAAGCATGAGAAACCAACATAATATCATAGAGGTATACACATTTCAAATTCCAGAAAATCTTCAGATCACTGGTTTTTTATCCTTCATCTGTTCTCGATTTAGTCATGTACTCCTGATGATATATATATATATATATATATATATATATATATAGCGAAAACTTTATAATTGTAAGCATTTTGAGTCTTTTGGAAAGTTAACTAGTGAGACAAGGAAATTTATTTCAAGTTGTTGATTTAGCCAGGTTTAAAAGACAACATATGGTCCATATGATTTCTCGATTTATGCCTTCATACATATTTCACTAGTGCTTACATTTACAATTTGAAGTTCAAAGAGAAACCAATGCGAGGACATCAACCTTTAGTTCCTATTTTTTTAACACTTCATGAATGTGTTCAAATGCATTCACAAAATGTCATCTTTTACCGAATTCTGAACAAATAAACTCGTGTTGGATGTGCGAATTCGGTACAACACAGAAAGAGCAATAAACAAATGAGGCGACATAATACTAAGTGACTGAAGAATCAAGGCAGGACAAGGCAGCAAACTTACGCAGACTCAAATTAGCATACTCGGAAACAATACGAATACTAACCAGAATAAAAGTTGTACCATACTGAAGAAAGATGAAATATGAAAGATAAATCTAAATGAATCATAGAACAAGTGAAGAGAAAACAGGCTTTATTGTAAAGGGTATCTACACTAAAACACTAACAAACATCTCCATATGCAATTTGATATGAACTCAATTTCAATCACGAAATCATGCTGAAGGGCAAAACGTTGGTTGTTTGGGTGACTGACTAACTGAATGCATTTTGAAGTAGAATTCTGCGAAACAGACTCATAAGAATAGGTAGCCGGAAAAAATGCAAGCCTGCTCCAAGGTCGGATATCAGGATGACAGACCTTTTCCAGATTCTTCTTAGTGTTCAGAGCAATTCAACTTCACTTTAAGTCACAGAGCGGGGATTGAAACCAGTGGCAAAAGATTTAATTTAAACCTAGGTAATTCCACTTGATGAGAGCAGGAGAACAAAACACAATAACATATAATATACACTGACTAGTGAAAATAACAAACGGCTTTAATTTTAAGCAACTACATCGATATACTTATTTATTTATTTTATTTTTGATTACAGCTTGATTCCACACTGTATTTTTGGTACAAGTGTGGAATTTTCAGCATGGATATCAGTAGCCCAAATTCCGCAGGCCGACCATAGATATCAGGTGTGCGTCGGCGTGGGCTCGAACCCCGGACCATGTGCATGGTCGGCGAGAGTCCTAACCACTGTGCCACCGACGCACAGTAAAGCAACAAAAGCAACTGAGAATGACAAACAAGTTATTAGGATGTCCAAGTACATTAAAATAAATGTGTCTAAATACTAAGTTGCTCATAACCCTGCTTTTTGAATATCTTAGCAAAATTCGTTTATTTAGAGTCAACGAAAGGCAAAGAGGAATAAAAACTGTTAAACAGAGATAGTGGTGTATTTAACATCAAAACACTCAGGAAAATGTATACTTCGCAGACATCCCCAAATGTCTGTCAACATTCGAGTTAAAGCTAATGAAAAATTATAACGACGTTTATCCTACATGAGAAGGGTCCTGGCGACCATCGTCCCTAAGCTCACAACAATTCTTAAATATTTCTAATCCATTCGCCGCTTATACATTTTTGGTTGGTAGAACAATTCATTATGGAGGAGTTAAACTCCAACATTCTCTAAGGATTGAATTCTGAAACTGCTCTCAAATGGTCTGATTATACGTAGCATGAGTGGCACTAATTCAGCAGCCTGTGTTCTTTTCTCGGCATTTTCAGATATAACTCAAAACCAGCTGTATTTGAAAGTCAACAAACTCTCAGCCTTCTCACACCAGGTTCAGCACTGAATGGCATGACTTCAAACCAAAAACACTGAAGTCAGCCCAGATTTTTCAGCTTTATTTCAGCACTTAAGGCACAATTTGAGCTAAAGTCTTATATTTAAGTTTTCGTCGCAGTAACTAAGCGTCCAGTGCTCTTGAAAAGAACGAATAGAGTTACTTCTTCACACAGCGGGTTCAGTTTATGTAGATGAAGTGCTCCGTCACCATCAAAAGGCTATTTTCGGGTGTTAAACAATAATCTTAAACATAGTTCAGAATTAGCGAAATTTAATTCACTATTAGGTCAAGACTGGAAAACTGCATCCAGGCCGCCAGTCCTTGTCTAAAAGGGAATTCACACATTCTAGAAAGTGTTCAAAGGAAGGCAACACGTATGGCTCACGGCATACCTAACTTATCATACGAGGAAAGACTAGATAGTTTAAATCTCTTCTCACTATCAGACCGTAGGCAGACAGGAGATTTAATCACAATGTTTAAAACTTTAAATAATGACTACGGACCTGACCTATTCTCTCTTTTCCTTCCCACCAGGTCGGTACACCTTAGAGGACATAGCAGGAAAGTTCAAATGCCAAGGAGACATCATATTGCTGTTGAGTACTGGTTCTCACATCGAGTCATAAACTCTTGGAACCGACTCCCAGAAGAAGTGGTGTCTGCAACCTCAACTGATTCGTTCAAGAAGGGTTTGGACAACCACAGAAATCTACTAGAAAAGGATTAACATAGGCTGCAAGCCTTCAATCCTCAACCAATAAATCTGAATCTATAGCAATCTTCAGGCGACACGAAACGTACTGCTTAAACCTGATGCAAACTACGAAACAATCTCTCAGTGTATTCATAATAAGACAATTACTCTTTGCTTCACTCAAAACCCAGATAACTTTTAACAGCTTACTTTAGCAATAAATCGCCGCTGCTTATTTCACCTTCGAGATCAATAAACAAAATTTCAGTTGACACATTTAAACAAGAAACCTTTATTTTTCTCTTCTGCTCGTTGATAGATTACTCGCACACTGTACTTGAAACCAATAAATAAAAAATACATTTATAGTTGTAAATAATTCGCCAAAACTATTGACCACAGCAATCACTCATTCGATGCTCACCACCACTGTTTAAGTTGACTTGTTTATCTGAAGGCTTCCGGTCATGCATCCCCGCCGTTTGGTACCCCGTCGTGTCACGTGCACGATCACTAGCCAGCTAAGCCTTCGTCTGACGGCTTGTTTTGGTCCCAGAATATATTACGAAGTTTGGACGATCAAATATTGGCTTTCGCTTTGTCTTTGGTACGCGAGAATAAATTAATTAGAAGTTTCCGAACGAGATATCCGTCAACCTTTAAACTGGTGAGCCCAACCGCGAACTTCATCCACGATAAATCCGCAGATAACCCCGGTGAGTTCGTTCCATTTTGTATTTGTTCTTGTACCAAATATTATTCGACATAATTTTCGTCATGAGTGATCTTAGTCCCAAGGTCATCCGTATCCGCTCAACTCCTAAAACCATTCAGCTCGTACCATACTGGCCAGATAACGCTGAAACGTGGTTTCTGCTAGCTGAAGCAGATTTTTGTGAGCATGGGATAATTTATCAACGTTCACAGTTACTTGCAGTTATTCACACCCTACCGCGGGAATTCAGCAAGTACATAACATCACAGATGTTGAGTCCCGAGGTAAGTAACTCGTACGAGTTGCTCAAAGCATCCCTCCTCAGGAGAAACGTTCTCACGGACCGACAACGTCTAGATGAATTATTTCGTAACATCGAGTTAGGAGATCAGTCAGCCGTGACCATGCTGACAAGAATGAAGGAAGTCGTCGGCCAAAGTCAGTTCGACGAAGGACTGTTTAGAGAACTCTTCTTAACCAAGCTGCCACAGTCTGTACAGACCGTACTTGTGACACTTCAGGGTACTGTAATAGAGGACTTAGCTATTACTGCAGATAGGATTCTAGAAATAACCAAACGGTCACTTCCCGAAATATGCTCGATGACTAAGCAGACTTCGAGTAAGGATACTGCAATGATAGAGTTATGCAACTCCATCCAGCAGATGTTTAGGTCGAACATGCATTCTAAATCCTCCGACCGTTGTCCTAAATCTCCTCAACGCAGGAACTCACGTGGTCGATCTAAGTCCAAACCACGTTCACTGAAAAACCCCGACTGGTGCTGGTACCACAACACCTATGGCCAAGAAGCGAAGTATTGCCGTAAGCCTTGTAACTTCGGAAATGTTTCAAAGTCTGTGGGAGACTCTCCCGCCGGCACGCGTTAGCGGCAACCGTCGCCGGTGGCACTAACCGCCTTCTTTACATCCATGATGTGATAAGCCAGACTCCATACTTAGTCGACACAGGCGCCGAAGTCAGCGTCCTTCCTGCTCCAGCATCAGATCAACAGAAGGAACCTACCTTCAGCTTACAGGCTGCAAATGGAAAGCCAATCGCAACCTTTGGTAGAAAATACGTCTATCTGAACGTAGGTTTACGCAAACCTATTCGATGGATTTTCCTTCTTGCTGACGTTACAATGCCCATCATTGGCACGGACCTACTTAGTCATCATGATTTACTCGTAGACGTCCGCCGAAAACGACTGATTGACAATACTACTAGTCTGTCTATCATAGTCATCAGCTACATAGGCCCTAGTTTGTCACCCGTTAAGATAAAGGCAATTCTTGGTCCAACTTTTCAACCTATGGTTGCTAAGTATCCGGAACTTAACTGCCCGTCGAACGACCTGCCGTGCATAACCAGCAATGTTATGCACCACATCATTACCACAGGACAACCTGTGACATCTAAAGCACGACGATTAGCTCCTGACAAACTGAGAGTCTCCAGGAATGAATTTGACCATATACTTACCCTTGGCATCATTCGACCTTCGAACAGCCCATGGGCATCCCCACTTCATATGGTTCCGAAAAATGATTGGCAACCCACCGGTGATTACCGGCGAGTGAATGTTAAAGCAACCCCCGATTGCTACCCGTTGCCTCATATACACGACTTGACGGCAACCTTGTCCGGCGCGACTATATTCCCCAAAATCGACTTGGTTAAAGCGTATAACCGAATCCCGATGGCAACAGAAGATATCCCGAAAACGGCTATCATTACGCCTTTCGGACTTTTTGAATCTCTACGTATGCCATTCGGTCTCCGGAATGAAGCCCAAACATTCCAACGCTTCATCGACGAAGTATTTCGCGGTCTCGAGTTTGTATACGCATACTTAGACGACTGCCCCATTGCCAGTCCAGACAAGGAAACTCACCTCAGGCACTTGGACTTGGCATTTGACAGGTTATGCCAACATGGTGTTATCATCAATATTCAAAAGTGTCAAATCGGTGTTGACTCACTCAATTTCCTCGGTCACACTATTGACTGCAAGGGCATTCGCCCACTGGCTACTAAGGTCGAGGCTATACTGAAACCGGCTTAATTGGAGGGTAATCCTATTAGCATAGAGCTGAACGTAACCCAAAATCCACAAGTAACAGAAGATCGTTTAGACATCGATGAAGTCACCAGCACAATGACAGCTACCGAACCTTCTATCGAGCCTCCCAAGAAAACCCGTTCTGGACGCACCGTAAGGTTCCCAGAATATCTGCACACTTATTTGACTTAACGACGTCGTGTGATTCACGCAACTCATTCGTTTGTGGTACTGACTATTTTCTTGACGTATCATTTTTTTATTTACAGTACCAGCGAACACAAAAATTTTTTTCCAACGGTTCATGTAACATACACAAAAAAATTAATTAGATGTATTTTTTTCTCGATGTTCTGAACTTAGCATTATTTTACTGTATAGTAAGTGCACACAATTTTTTTTAACCAAAAAGCTCATTTCGTACATTTTCCTCGACATGGTTCTTAGCGTTCGTGGTTTCTTTTCCAGGTGCGACGTGCACTGGACAGGAAACAAACGCAGCACGGAATCCAACGAACAACAACAAGGAAGCTATGTACAAACACCCTATTAGCATAGGCAGACAAACCAGTAAGCATACGACCAAGCCGCTCGGAAGATTTTTTCACCCGAAAGGGCACCATCGAGTTATTTTTACTTCCGGCTGGTTCTGTCTTAGGGTCCTCACGACCCCACTAGGAGGGGGGAGTGAGCTGTAGCGGTAAATAATTCCCCAATATTATTGACCACAGCTGTCAATGGAGTTGAAGATTGAACGATCGATTCTTGGTTGTTTGCTCAAAATCAACTTCCTCAATTTTCGCGGAGGCATCAATACGACAGTCATCGTCTCATCGGTCGCTGTTCAGAAAGAAGAGTGAAACATCGTCAGAAACCTTAGTTAACTTAGTTCGTTTATTCCTTTTATATGTTGGTGTAACAATAAAGAAATAAAAAGCAGCAGATCGGTGTTTTGGTTTTTGCGTCCGTTATTACTAAGCGTTTCTGAAACTCAAAGGAACAGCGTGGGCCCGAGCGTAGCGAGAGCTGGGCATTAACGGTTTATGAGACGAGACTGACAGTTTCTGACGATAGAAACAGATCTGGCGGATTGAAACAGTTGGTGAAAGTTTGGATAGTCGCCGTTCATTTTTCCTGGTGCCGGTCAAGTCCTCTTTGAACAAGCAATATCTGGAACTTTTTGGAATTGGGTCAAGTTCAACAATGCCTGGGTCAAAGAAGGGACAGAGTGTCTTGGATGCAAACAGGAAAGTAAGTCATGGTGACTTGTCTGTTAATTGTAACGATGTGTCTGATGTTAAGCATGACATGGTTGATGTTACTGTTTCGCCGTTCAGGGATAATAGGAACATCAAACTCCCTAAATTTGAACCACGATGTTTTGATGGAAACCCGGCTGATTATTTACAATTTGTAAAGGAGTTTGAGATCATGTTGAGTGGTATTTTATTAAATGATGAATTGAAGTTAATGTATTTGATGAGATATTGCACTGGAGATGCTGCAAGAGCTATACAGTGCTGTAAGTTTATGAAGCCAAAAGAGGGCTACTACGAGGCTATGAGCATATTACGTCAAAGGTTTGGAAGACCTTCGATGATTGCAGGGAAATTATTCGAGGCTGTTAAGGGTAATGGTGGTCAATTACAGGATGACTCCCAGGCACTCACTGAGTTTTTAGATAATTTGCTAATTTACAAGAATGGAATGATTTCGATGAATCGCATGAGTGACCTCAACTCGAGTTTTATACTAGAAGTAATAGCAAGACGTCTACCTACTCGACTGCAAAGGAAGTGGGTGAAGATAAGCTCCCGTATGGAGGATGAGGGTATCGAGCCAAAGTTTGATGATATCCTGAAACTGGTAAATACTAGTGTCAATCAATCTATGAGCAAGTTCGCCAGTCTATTAGATCTCACCCCTAGAATAGAGCAGTCTGAGATCAAAATGCAATCATTGATGACGAATAGGCCTCAGAGAGGTGGATATCGAGAAAGCTCCATGATGTCTAGTAATGCATATAGACCTAGTGAGTGTAACAGGTTTCGTAGTACATCCTCAACAGATAAGTTACAAGATGCAAGACAAACACGGTTGTGCTTTACACGTGTGCAAGAGGTGCATACAGAAGTGAACTGTGAACCGGTGAGCAAGTTCAGTGATAAGCTAAATGTAAACTCCAGACCTGACTCCGAATTGTGTGACGATAACGGTGCGGTGAAGAAGTCTGTAGTTGCAACTGGTAAGCCATTGTTGAATAGAGTGTCACAGAATAGAGTTGCTGCTTCAGAGTGCAGTTCTGACCCTACAAGTTTACAAGGTATTACTAGTCAGAGTGAAGTTATAAAACCTTTTATGATTTGCGAGGAGGAACCAAAATTGTCTACTTCTGTTATTAAAGAGTTTGAAAATGATGAAGTTGACGGTAAAGTGAATATTCGTGATAATGATCATGATACTTCACAGTTGTCTTTGGTTGATCATT